GCCTGGAGTTTGCTAAAAAACACCTGAAGGACTCCAAGATGGTGAGAAATAAGATTCTCTGGTCTGATGAGACCAAGATAGAACTTTTTGGCCTTAATTCTAAGCGGTATGTGTGGAGAAAACCAGGCACTGCTCATCACCTGTCCAATACAGTCCCAACAGTGAAGCATGGTGGTGGCAGCATCATGCTATGGGGGTGTTTTTCAGCTGCAGGGACCGGACGACTGGTTGCAATCGAGGGAAGGATGAATGCGGCCAAGTACAGGGATATCCTGGACGAACACCTTCTCCAGAGTGCTCAGGACCTCAGACTGGGCTGAAGGTTCACCTTCCAACAAGACAATGACCCTAAGCACACAGCTAAAATAACGAAGGAGTGGCTTCACAACAACTCCGTGACTGTTCTTGAATGGGCCAGCCAGAGCCCTGACTTAAACCCAATTGAGCATCTCTGGAGAGACCTGAAAATGGCTGTCCACCAACGTTTACCATCCAACCTGACAGAACTGGAGGGGATCTGCAAGGAGGAATGGCAGAGGATCCCCAAATGCAGGGGCGAACAACTTGTTGCATCATTCCCAAAAAGACTCATGGCTGTATTAGCTCAAAAGGGTGCTTCTACTAAATACTGAGCAAAGGGTCTGAATACTTATGACCATGTGATATTTCAGTTTTTCTTTTTTAATAAATCTGCAAAAATGTCAAATTCTGTGTTTTTCTGTCAATATGGGGTGCTGTGTGTACATTAATGAGGAAAAAAAATGAACTTAAATGATTTTAGCATATGGCTGCAATATAACAAAGAGTGAAAAATTTAAGGGGGTCTGAATACTTTCAGTACCCACTGTACATAACTAATGACCAAGGTCATCTCCAAATGTTGTCCTGTTATTTCTGTTTCTATCAATTTTCAGAATTGCAAAAGTAAAAATATGCATCTTAATATATTGTGATATGGAGGCTCATTTTCACTAGAAAAAACCTCATGAAAACTGGTAAAATAAGTCTAAATTATGAGACTACTACAGCAAGTGTCTCATAATTGTAATTTAAAGAGTTAAACATTTCAAAGTTGTCTTCACATATGCTAGAACATAAAAGCCTGTTAGTTGATATGGGTCAGAATTCACTGTCATTTTTATATACACGTAAGATAGGCCAATTTGTAAATTTGCTTTGCTGGTGCCAGTTTATATTACATTTGTCCCTGAGTGTGATAAGTCTGATAAGTGTCCCTGAGCAACACACTGAACCCCGAATTGCTCCCGGTGGCTTGACTAGCGCCGTTGTGTGGCAGCCTGTTGTCATCGGTGTGTGAATGTTGGTGTGAATGTTGTGTGTGAATAGGTGAATGGTGTATCATCTCCTGTAAAGCGCTTTGGCCAGTGCAACACACTGTGGAAAAAATGCGCTATATAAATACAGTCCATTTGCCATTTGGGTCTCATAAACCGCAGACAATCTCTCATAGTTCTAATCTACAATATGAGCATTGCTGATGTAATTCTTGCAGCATTAAGTAACACAAAGCTATGTGGCGTGTGCAATGTTAAGATAACATCTGTACAGGGGTGAAACTATGACAGTCTAAATATCTGATAGAACAAAAATGAGAACATCTTGTTTCTTTCCTTATTTATTTTTACTAATTAATAAGAATTTATTCATTTAGTTTCCAAGTTGTTATTAAATCAGTCTGGTCAGTTAATAATACAGCAGCACAATGATATGATGACTTTACATGAGAAATGTAGCCTGTCTAACTTTCCTTGAGTAAAATGGAGATTAATCCATAAACACTGGTCACCTGCGTAGCATTTTAACTATCTCCTTGTCGTATATTAAAACATCTCTTGGACCCTGAGAATGAGCTGAAAAGTTTGATTTGAAGGTGGTTATTAAATCGAGATTAGATTTAGTATGCGAGTGCTTCTGTGACTTCCTCTACAGACTGAAGGCGGCGGGAAAGCTCCTAAACTGTCCATCCTGACTGGGGCTTGTTTTGTGCTGCAGAAACAGCAGGGGGCAGGCATAGTTCATCTCAGCCAAGGTGCAGTTTATCTCAAACAAGTCTATTTATGTGGAGGCCTCTGGCTGTGATGTTGTCGAGCTACTGTATGTAACGGGCCATACTGCTGCTGATGACTCATGGCAGTGTATGTGTGTTTCTCAGTGCACATGGTGTAACATGGTGGCCCTACTCTAATAAACCTGTAGTGTCACCCTTGAATTAATACGGACCTTGTGCATCACATACGGCACAGCTTTGTTTGTGCGTTTGGACACAAATGCAAGTGTGTTTGTGTGGCTTTGAGATGACACCAGACCTAGATGCTTGACTCAGCAAAGGAATCGAAAATGCAGAATGAGGAACTAGATGCATGTACAGTTATATGTGTGTGTGTGTGTGTGTGTGTGTGTGTGTGTGGATATAGGCACTGCATGCCCAGTACACACACACACACTGTGTTTTCATTCTTTGTGGGGACTTCACATTGACTTACATTCATTTCCTGTAGACTTATCCTAACCTTAACCATAACCACTACTTGCCTAACCATAACCCTGACCCTAATACTTAACCTCATCCTAACCCTAAACCACCCCAAAAATTCAGTGATGACTGAGTCCCCACAAAGTGAGTGTGTTAACATGTTTCAGTCCACTGTAATGTAAGTAATACAAAGACAGAGGAAACATAAACGTTTGCACTGCATGCATCCTCACTTGGAACAGGGTGGGGGGGCGTATTTAGTTGCCTAAATTAAAGACCTCCCATGAGGTTTTTCAGTTGAAGAACCCCTCTTATAAACACCAGCAGCCTCCAGCTATACCCATTTATTACCACATCCAGAGGAGAAGTGGGGACCTCAGCTGTCTTCCTCTCCTCCTTTTCATATTCCATTGATCCAAAGCCTTGTAGAAAACCAGTGTCAGTTTGATGGTTAAAGGACAGGCAGTTAAAGCTATGGTTAGGGGTTTGGCACTGCAGTCCATTCATTCTCTGGCCCAGCACACCACTATATACTACAATTAGAAATGTGCCAACAGTCTACAGGCTGCTGCTAAACTACGCTGTGGTACACAGCAGGTTCATCAGTCAACTCAAGGCAGTGGTTTGTACTGTATATGTCAGGCAATTCAGAGACTCTCTGGGTTTCTGAAAATTACCAGAGAGACAATCTTGGTGACTGACTTTTCCATGTGACATTCAGACATAAGGTTATACTGAATATTGTCAATAATAATGCCAAAATTTATGTGTTTACCAGGTTACTGAGAAAAAACAGGTAACATGGCAGCACAACTGATGCTTCCGGTGGCCTCTGCTGATGCTATCGAATGTTTTTCAGTGCCACAAGTACAGTAGGTTCTTCCCTCCCCTGCAAAGCAAATGGATGAAAATGGGTTTATAACTATGACGTTCTACTGAACATTAGAAAGCACTGTGGAAACAGCCGACCAAAAAACTAAACCGGTGAGTGACATCAACATTGGGTAAGCTCCGAGGAGGAGGTCTGGCTAGCAATTCATGCTGCAGTGATGCTAGGATGGTTTCCAAAACCTGTTCTCCTGATGTGGAGCTTATGACTGTGAAATGTAGACCTTTTTATTTACCTTGCAAACTGACAGCAATCATCATTACTGCAGTGTTGGTTCCCCCAAGTGCAGATGTAAAGCAGGTGATGGGAGAGCACCTACACCACTCAGTTACAGACCATCCTGATGCAGTTCACATTGTTTTGGGGGATCCTAACAAGGCTAACCTTAAGTCTGTTCTACCTCATTTCCGTCAGCATGTTTCATGAGAGAGGGGAATACACAGAGACTCTGTTGCACTGATGATGCGAGTGTTATAAAACCTGTCAAGCTGTGCCCCACCAATAAGCCTTGGCTAACTGGGGAGGTCTGCTCCTTGCTGAGGCTTCATGATGCTGCATTCAGATCTGATGACACTGAAGCATACAACATAGCAAGGAACAACCTAATAAGAGGACTCGGAGAGGCTAAAAAAGAACATGGGAAAAAGTTGTCCAGCAATTTCACTGACACCAAGGACACAAGACACTTATGGCAGGGATTCTGCACAGCTACAGGCTATAAGCCTACTGTACAGGGAACGAACAATGACCCCTTCCTACGAGATAACCTCAACACCATTTTCTCCTGATTGAAGGTTACAGACAACAGCACAGCAGAAAGGCAGGCATTGCCTTCCATCAATCAGGCACTCCAGCTGACTGAA